TTTTGCCTTCATGTTGACTCTGGCTTATTTCTGAAAACATAAAACCAAAAAACAAAGTTACAGATCTAGTTTTTCCATGGTAATTTCTTCTCATATAAATCTATTTTTATACTTGAAGGAGATTCCTGTTTGTACTTTCCCATTTCAACAGACACTTATTCAAAGTCTGCAAGTTTATAAAGACACACTCTCTCTGTTCTGTCTTGTGCTTCTTCTCAGTGGGTGTGTCTACACAAGATGCTTAACTGTGCATTAATAGAGTTTATTGAGAAGTAAGCATGTGTGTCGACTCAAGGTTAGTAATGGTGCAGTAGCGCTCATGTAGATGCCTGACCAGGAACAAAATCTGCTCCTGGTCAGCCGTCCAACAGGGGGCAGGAGATAGCTCCCTGCCCCCCAGGAGCTGCCTGCTGCTAGGGCGGGCTCCATCATAGGAGACTGGGTGGGGACTAAGTCCCCCTGCCCTGGCAGTAGGGAGCTCCAAGCCTCTTGCTCCACCACCGTGATTGGGGAGCAGAGGGCTGGGAGACCCTTATCTCCCACCACCAGATCCACAACCATGAGGCCAGTGATGGGAGACCCTTATTTCCCAGCGCAGGCTTTGTGATCACAGGGTCAGTGCTGGGAGATCCTTATCTCCTTGCTGGTGGGGGCAGGGAGCATGGAGATGTTGGGGAGCTTGTTTTCCCCCAGCTCTGCGTTCACGGAGCTGGGTGGGGAACAAACCTACCAGCCTGCCCCCCCCACCCTAGCTCCATGCTCACAAAAGTGGGTGGAGAACAATCCTCCAGCCTGTCCCCTTCCCCCCAGCTCCATGCTCATGAAGCTGAGTGGGGAACTAACCCCCCAGCCTGTCTGTTCCCGCCCCCGCCCATGAGCTCTGCACTCACAGAACTGGGCAGGGAACAAGCTGCCCAGCCTCTGCCCAGCTCCATCCTGCAGACCACTGTGCCCACCCCAGCACCAGGCAGCCCCCAGGGCCAGGAGACAGCTCTCTCCTGGCCCACTGCTCCCTGTCAGCCCCTGGGCTAGCACCCAGGGGGAGCCTAGATCTCCCCTCTGGTGGCAGCAGGGGCCCATTGCAGGGCTGCAGGGAACTTGGTGCAAAGAGCAGCACATTTTCTCCCTAGTCCCCACATGTGTAGAGGCCTGAAAGTGCTTACTCTAGAGTAGCTTACACTGGAGTAAACTTAGGCTGGATCAAATGCATTTGTAGATGTGACCACTGTTATACATCTACCTCTTGCTGGTTGTAGGAAAGAGTATGTGAAAAAGTGCTGAGGGCATCAGGTTACCCAATGGATATATACGTTTACTCACAATCTCTCTGTGGTTCTTGAGAACCAACTGTTCACTCAGCTTGTCAGCCAGATTTTCTTTGTGCTTAACATATCAAAACTCCAGCAACCCAGCAGGTTGGTTTGATCTTTCCCTTTATAATGAGATTGTGTGTTTCAGATCTGAGGTAATTTCTTCTCTTTTAGTAGCATAAGCCAAATGAAACCTCTGTCATCAAAATTACTGTCAAAATCATCTTCCAAAGCACATGCCGATAACAGGTCTTTCCTTTTAGTCATGAAATAAAGGGGGTGGCTAAAAGCTTAGAAACCAGACACTGATTTACTCCAGATAAAATTCAGCATATCTCTACTGACTTGGTTAGATGGCTTACATTGTCTGAGAACCTGGCCTCACGTGTTTCCACAGTGATACCTTGTGGAAATACCAATACTGAACACAAACAACATACTACTTATTTTTACTTAAAATTAAAGGAAGCCATTAAAGTTCTACAGACTATGGAGCCAATTTTAGAAGCTTAAACTTGTGAAGGGTGTTTGTGGGACATATCAGTTCTTTAAGAAAAGTATTACCATATTTACTTAATTCCAAGACAAGATTTTCCTCCCTATAACATGGGGGGAAAAAGCCCTTTGTCTTGGAATTGAGTATGAAGCAGCAGGGGGGCAGGCAGTTGCTTCCTGCTAGCCCACTGCCTTCTCTCTCTGCCCCATCTCTGCCCCCTGCAGCTTCTGTGCTGTCTGCCTGACCACTCCACCCCCCTTGCAGTCTTGGGCACCCTGCAACCTCTCTGCCTCGCCTCTCCCTTCTCCCCATTTCTTCCTAAGACCCCCTGCAGCTTTATCCTTGCTCTGCTCCAGTA